ATGGAGGGGGAACTGCGGAGGATGGAGGAGGAGTATGGAGTATGGAGAGGGAAGCAGGGAGGGTGGAGAGGGAAGTAGGGAGCATGGAGTGGGAACTACGGAGGATGGAGGTAGAAGTATAGAAGATGGAGAGGGAAGTAGGAAGGGTGGAGCGATAGATACGTAGGAGCATGGAGGGTGAACTACGGAAGATGAAGGGAGAAGGATGGAGGATGGAAAGGAAAGCAGGGAGAGGAAGAGGGAATTAGGGAGCATGGAGAGGGAACTATGGAGGGAGTAGGAAGCATGGAGGGGGAACTGCGGAGGATGGAGGAGGAATATGGAGTATGGAGAGGGAAGCAGGGAGGGTGGAGAGGGAAGTAGGGAGCATGGAGTGGGAACTACGGAGGATGGAGGTAGAAGTATGGAAGATGGAGAGGGAAGTAGGCAGGGTGGAGCGATAGATAAGTAGGAGCATGGAGGATGAACTACGGAAGATGGAGGGAGAAGGATGGAGGATGGAGGGGGAAGTAGGGAGAGTTAAGAGGAAAGTAGGGAGCATGGAGAGGGAAGTATGGAGGGAGTAGGGAGTTTCGAGGGGGAACTGCGGAGGATGGAGGAGTATGGAGTATGGAGAGGGAAGTGTAGGGGATGGAAAGGTAAGTGAGATGGTGGAAAGGGAAGAAGGGAGTATGGAGTGGCAACTGCGGAGGATGGAGGTAATAGTATGGAGTATGGAGAGGGAAGTATAGGGGATGGAAAGGGAAGTAGGGGGTGTGGAGTAGGAACTACGGAGGGATGGAAAGGGAAGTAGGGGGTGGAGAGGGAAGAAGGGAGTATGGAGTATGGAGTGGCAACTACGGAGGATGAAGGGAGAAGTATGGAGTATGGAGAGGGAAGTATAGGGGAAGGAAAGGGAAGTAGGGAGGGTGGAGTAGGAACTACGGAGGATTGAGGTAGAAGTATGGTGTATGGAGAGGGAAGTAGAAAGGGTGGAGAGGGAAGTAGGGAGCATGGAGAGGGAACTACAGAGGGTGGAGGGAAAAGTATGGAGGATGGAGAGGGAAGTTGTGAGGGTGGAGGGTTAAGTAGGGAGCATGGAGGGAGAAGTATAGAGGATGGAGGGGGAGAATGGAGGATGGAGAGGGAAGTAGGGAGGGTGGAGAGGGAAGTAGGGAGCATGGAGAGGGAACTACAGAGGGTGGAGGGAAAAGTATGGAGGATTGAGGTAGAAGTATGGAAGATGGAGTGTGAAGTAGGAAGGGTGGAGAGATAGGTAGGATCATGGAGGGGGAATTACGGAAGATGGAGGGAGAAGAATGGAGGATGGAGGGGGAAGCAGGGAGAGTGAAAAGGGAAGTAGGGAGCATGGAGGGGGAACTACGGAGGGTGGAGAGGGAAGTAGGGAGGGTGGAAAAGAAAGTAGGCAGCCTGGAGGGGGACATTCGAAAGATTGAGGAAAAGTAGGGAGGATGGAGAGGGAAGCAGTGAGGGTGAAGAGGGATGTAGGGAGCATGGAGGGGGAACTACGGACGGTGGGGAGGGAAGTAGGGAGCCTGGAGGGGGACATACGAAAGATAGAGGGAGAAGTATGGAGGATGGAAAGGGATGTAGGGAGGGTGGAGAGGGAAGCAGTGAGGGTGAAGAGGGATGTAGGGAGCATGGAGAGGGAACGATGGAGGACGGAGGGAGAAGGATGGTGGGTGAAGTTGGGAGGATAGAGGGTGAAGGATGGAGGATGGAGGGGAAGTAGGGAGTATGGACGATTGAGGGTGAACTTTTGAGTATGGAAAGGAAAGTTGGGAGGATGGAGAGGGAAGTAGGGAGTATGGAGGGGGAACTACGGAGCACTGAGGGAGAAGTTTTGAGGAGGGATAGGGAAATAGGGAGTATGGAAGGGGAACTACGGAGGATGGAGGGAGAAGTATGGAGCATGGAGAGGGAAGTAGGGAGGGAGGAGGAGGAAGTAGGGAGCATGGGGACGGAAGTAGGGAGTATGGAGGGGAAAATACGGGGGATTATAGAGGATGGAAAGGGATGTAGGGAGGGTTGAGAGGTAAGTAGGTAGTATGGAGGGGGAACTACGAAGGATGGAGGGAGAAGTATGGATGATGGAGAGGGAAGTAGGGAGGGTGAGAGGGAAGTAGGGAGCATGGAGGGGGAACTACGGACGGTGGGGAGGGAAGTAGGGAGCCTGGAGGGGGACATACGAAAGATAGAGGGAGAAGTATGGAGGATGGAAAGGGATGTAGGGAGGGTGGAGAGGGAAGTAGTGAGTATGGAGGGGAAGTATGGAGGATGGAGGGAGAAGTATGGAGGACAGAGAGGGAAGTAGTGAGGGTGAAGGGTCAAGTATAGAGGATGGAAAGGGAAGTAGGGAGGGTGGAGGGGAAAATAGGGAGTATGGAGGGGGAACTACGGATGATGAAGGGAAAAGTATGGAGGATGGAGAGGGAAGTTGGGAGGATGGAGAGGGAAGCAGGGAGTATGGAGGGGGAACTGCGGAGGATTGAGGGAGAAGTATGGAGGATGGAGAGGGAAGTAGGGATGGTGGAGGGGGAAGTAGGGAGCATGGAGGGGGAAGTTGGGAGGGTGGAGGGGGAAGTAGGGAGCATGGCGGGGGAAATACGGGGCATGGAGGGGGAAGTAGGGAGGGTCGAGAGGGAAGTAGGGAGCCTGGAGGGGGACATACGAAAGAAAGAGGGAGAAGTATGGTGGATGGAGAGGGAAATAGGGAGTATGGAAGGGGAACTAAGGAGGATGGAGTGAGAAGTTTGAGGATGGATAGGGAAATAGGGAGTATGGAAGGGAACTACGGAGGATGGAGTGAGAAGTAGGGAGGATGGAGAGGAAAGTCGGGAGGATGGAGAGGGAAGTATGGAGTATGGAGGGGGAACTACGGAGGATTGAGGGAGAAGTTTTGAGGGTGGAGAGGGAAATAGGGAGTATGGAAGGGAAACTACGGAGGATGGAGGGAGAAGTATGGAGGATGGAGAGGGAAGTAGGGAGGATGGAGAGAGAAGCAGGGAGTATGGAGGGGGAAATGCGGAGGCTTGAGGGAGAAGTATGGAGGATGGAGAGGGGAGTAGGGAGCATGGAGGGGGAAGTTGGGAGGGTGGAGGGGGAAGTAGGGAGCATGGCGGTGGAAATACGGGGCAGCGAGGTGGAAGTAGGGAGAGTCGAGAGGGAAGTAGGGAGCCTGGAGGGGACATACGAAAGAAAGAGGGAGAAGTATGGAGGATGGAGAGGGAAATGGGAGTATGGAAGGGGAACTACGGAGGATGGAGGGAGAAGTTTTGAGGATGGATAGGGAAATAGGGAGTATAGAAGGGGAACTACGGAGGATGGAGTGAGAAGTAGGGAGGATGGAGAGGAAAGTTGGGAGGATGGAGAGGGAAGTAGGAAGTATGGAGGGGGAACTACGGAGGATGGAGGTAGAAGTTTTGAGGATGGATAGGGAAATAGGGAGTATGGAAGGGGCACTACGGAGGATGGAGGGAGAAGTATGGAGGATGGAGAGGGAAGTTTGGAGGATGGAGAGGGAAGCAGGGAGTATGGAGGGAAACTGCGGAGGATTGAGGGAGAAGTATGGAGGATGGAGAGGGAAGTAGGGATGGTGGAGGGGGAAGTAGGGAGCATGGAGGGGGAAGTTGGGAGGGTGGAGGGGGAAGTAGGGAGCATGGTGGGGGAAATACGGGGCATGGAGGGGGAAGTAGGGAGGGTCGAGAGGGAAGTAGGGAGCCTGGAGGGGGACATACGAAAGAAAGAGGGAGAAGTATGGAGGATGGAGAGGGAAATAGGGAGTATGGAAGGGGAACTACGGAGGATGGAGTGAGAAGTTTGAGGATGGATAGGGAAATAGGGAGTATGGAAGGGAACTACGGAGGATGGAGTGAGAAGTAGGGAGGATGGAGAGGAAAGTCGGGAGGATGGAGAGGGAAGTATGGAGTATGGAGGGGGAACTACGGAGGATTGAGGGAGAAGTTTTGAGGGTGGAGAGGGAAATAGGGAGTATGGAAGGCAAACTACGGAGGATGGAGGGAGAAGTATGGAGGATGGAGAGTGAAGTAGGGAGGATGGAGAGAGAAGCAGGGAGTATGGAGGGGGAAATGCGGAGGATTGAGGGAGAAGTATGGAGGATGGAGAGGGAAGTAGGGAGCATGGAGGGGGAAGTTGGGAGGGTGGAGGGGGAAGTAGGGAGCATGGCGGTGGAAATACGGGGCAGCGAGGTGGAAGTAGGGAGAGTCGAGAGGGAAGTAGGGAGCCTTGAGGGGACATACGAAAGAAAGAGGGAGAAGTATGGAGGATGGAGAGGGAAATGGGAGTATGGAAGGGGAACTACGGAGGATGGAGGGAGAAGTTTTGAGGATGGATAGGGAAATAGGGAGTATAGAAGGGGAACTACGGAGGATGGAGTGAGAAGTAGGGAAGATGGAGAGGAAAGTTGGGAGGATGGAGAGGGAAGTAGGAAGTATGGAGGGGGAACTACGGAGGATGGAGGGAGAAGTTTTGAGGATGGATAGGGAAATAGGGAGTATGGAAGGGGCACTACGGAGGATGGAGGGAGAAGTAGGGAGGATGGAGAGGAAAGTTGGGAGGATGGAGAGGGAAGTAGGAAGTATGGAGGGGGAACTACGGAGGATTGAGGGAGAAGTTTTGATGATGGAGAGGGAAATAGGGAGTATGGAAGGGGAACTATGGAGGATGGAGGGAGAAGTATGGAGGATGGAGAGGTAAGTAGGGAGGGTGAGAGGGAAGTAGGGAGCATGGGGACGGAAGTAGGGAGTATGGAGGGGGAAAATACGGGGGATTATAGAGGATGGCAAGGGATGTAGGGAGGGTTGAGAGGTAAGTAGGTAGTATGGAGGGGGAACTACGAAGGATGGAGGGAGAAGTATGGATGATGGAGAGGGAAGTAGGGAGGGTGAGAGGGAAGTAGGGAGCATGGAGGGGGAACTACGGACGGTGGGGAGGGAAATAGGGAGCCTGGAGGGGGACATACGAAAGATAGAGGGAGAAGTATGGAGGATGGAGAGGGAAGCAGGGAGGGTGAAAAGGGAAGTAGGGGGCTTGAAGAGGGAACTATGGACGGAGGGAGAAGTATGGAGGATGGAGGGTGGAGTATAGAGGATGGAAAGGGAAGTAGGGAGGGTGGAGAGGGAAGTAGGGAGAATGGAGGGGGTACTACGGAGGATGGAGAGGGAAGTAGTGAGGGTGAAGAGGGGAGAAGGGAGCATGGAGAGGGAACTATGGAGGGTGGAGGGAGAAGTTTCGAGGATGGAGAGGGAAGTAGGGAGTGCGGAGACGGAAGTAGGGAGGATGGAGAGGGAAATAGGGAGTATGGAAGGCGAACTACGGAGGATGGAGTGAGAAGTATGGAGGATGGTGAGGGAAGTAGGGAGCATGGAGGGAGAACTACGGATGAATGAGGTAGAAGTATGGAAGATGAAGAGGGAAGTAGAAGGGGTGGAGAGATAAGTAGGTGCATGGAGGGTGAACTCCGGAGGATGGAGTGAGAAGTAGGGAGGATGGAATGGAAAGTAGGGAGCATGGAGGGAAAAGTACAGATGAATGAGGTAAAAGTATGGAACATGAAGAGGGAAGTAGAAGGGGTGGAGAGATAAGTAGGGAGGGTGCAGAGATAAGTAGGTGCATGGAGCGTGAACTCCGGGGGTTGGAGTGAGAAGTATGGAGGATGGAGAGGGAAGTAGGGAGGGTGGAGAGGGAAGTAGGGAGCATGGAGAGGGAAGAAGTAGGACGGTTGCAAGGAGTACAGTGGATAAAAGAGAGGGAAGCTGTGAGGATGGAGGAAGAAGTTAGGAGTATGGTTTTGAGAAATTGAGAATATGAAGGGGGATGTTGGGAGGATGGAGGGGGAAGTAGGGAGGATGGAGGGGGAAATAGGGAGGATGAAGGGTGAAGTAGGGAGGATGGAGGGAGATTTTGGAAAGATGGGTGGAAGTTTATGGAGGATTGAGAGAAGTAGAGAGGATCGTGGTGAAATATGGAGGATGGAGGGGAATGTAGGGAGGATAGGGGATGGGATACGTAGAGGGGAGTGTCTTGGGTAATACTGGATATGGAAGCACAGTATGGAGTGTGGAGAGGAAAGGAGTGATGGAGATGTCAGGACTATAGAGTGGGAAATAGCGAGGATGAAGGGAATTTGGATAAGAAGCAGGGAGGGAGAAGTAAAGAGATGAGACTGAGGGAGAATTCTGGACTATAGAAAGGAAGCAGGGAGGATCGAGGGAGAAGTAGGAAGTTTGGAGGAGGGTAATAGGGAGGGAGATGTTGCGACGACAGAGGGGAAGGCGGGGATGGAGTGCGAAGTAGGAAGGATGTAGGAGGATGGAGGCGTTCGTGGAAGGGTGAGTGTATCCCACCAGCGACACCCGTCACAAACACATGCAAACTGTTTACCTAAAAATATACTCGGTAACATATGGTACAAGTGAAATTAGGGAATTGCACTGGACATCTTTTTTTCACTATTGCGTCAAAATTGGGAAATATCCTCCACATGTCTACCATAAAACCGCTTGAACGCTTTACTGTGTCCTTCGCTGTTGTAAACCTAACACTATTTGAGAGTTTGTTTGTTTGTTTGTTGTTTAACGCCGTTTAACTCAGCAATATTCCAGTCATATGACGGCTGTCTGTAACGTAATCGAGTCTGGACCAGACAATCCAGTGATTGACATCATGAGTATCGATCCACGCAATTTGGATCGATGACATGTATCAACCAAGTCAGCGAGCCTGACCACCCGATCCCGTTAGTCGCCTTTTACGACAAGCATAGTCGCCTTTTACGGCAAGTATGGGTTGCTGAAGACCTATTCTACCCCGGAATCTTCACGGGTCTATTTGAGAGTACTGAATACTTGTGTACCCCCTACTTCCCCATCTGCTCCAACCTCGCCCCGTTTCGTTCCTAATTGCCTTACCCATCCCTACCTCAGTACTCAAGTATTCAGTACTATTTGAGAGTACTGAATACTTAAGTACTGAGGTAGGGACGGGATGGAGCAGATGGGGAAGGAGGGGGTATGGGAAGAGGATAGGAGGAGGGAACTATAGTGCAAGAACAAAGGTAGACGCAGATGGGGAAATGAAACGGAGCACGGTGAGGAACGGTAAGGAGGAGAGAAGTACAGTAGTGGGATTGAGGTATGAGCAAGGGGGGGGGGGGGACTAGGAGCTGGTTCAGAAAGGGGGGACGTGGAAGCAGAAGGGAAGGTAAGACTAGTTCGTTATTTTTTTTAATAATTTTTCGGGGACAATATACTTTTTTGCGATTAAAACCCAGGCCCCCAAAAATATCAAATGGTCGGTCCCTAATGGGAGGAGGGAGGTAGAAACTGGTCGTGAAATTGATGGGAGTAGCTGAGGTGAAAAGAACTATTGTGGAAGGATTTGGTTGGTTTGTTGTTTAACGCCGCACTCAGCAATATTCCAGCTATATTACGGCGGTCTGTAAATAATCGAGTCTGGACCAGACAATCCAGTGATTAATATCATGAGCATCGATCCACGTAAGGGTCATGGGTTATGAGAGAGGATGGGAAGTATAGTGGGGGGACGAAGGTAAGAGAAAAAATATACTGAAATTGAAATTCAAAGGTAGCTTAGCATTGTCCTCAATGGAATAGTGCAAAAGTTCCTTTGTTAATGCTTGTTTACTTGTTGAGACCATTTGTGAAAATTAATGTCGGATAAACAAGAGAAACCTGATATGAACTAGGTCTGGCACATTGTAGTCTTTCAGGACTTGTACAACTAACGTTGAACACTGCCACACGTGTCTCCAGATATGTGTGAAATGGCAAGGGGACTTAATTTCTGGTTCATCATTTGATTGTCTGATTTGTTTACATGCCCCCGTGGCAAGGCAGGCGTACTGCTGTGTTGTGCCAGGAAACACGGATATACTTTCTTATACAACCCGTAGATCAGGAAATGCTTACCACTTTTGTGAACACCTGGTGTCATGACTGATTTTCATTCAAAAAAGATTTCCATGGCTATTTGGCCTTCACGAGCAATTGAATCTACTTATTCGTATATGATATGACAAAATATATACTTGCTATATCCATGCATGTGTCATCAGTGCTCATCAGAGTGACCCACCTTATGTGTCCAGATCATGAAACATTTACCATTCACCCATGCTTGTCTTTAGAACATGTTATTGACAATGGCAGCTAGTTGTGAAAAGTGATCTATGGAGGACCAGCTGTGACATGCATATTATATCAACTTATGATCAGTGTCTCATGAGAGTAACACCTTTTGGTTTCCATATCAGAAAACTTTTACCTGTCACCCATTCTTGTTTTAATAATGTGTGGGTCAAATCAGCTCCTGGCTATGAATATTATATGATGGAGGACCAGCTGTGACATGGTTCGTTGTGTGTCATCGTGGTTTATCTGGTCCAGACTGAAATACCTTACATGCCGCCACAATACAGCTGTAAGATTACCCACTATTTCAAAAACTCACCCATTGGTTTGTTTACCATAACATGTTCCATGTGTGTATTGCTGTATTCAGAGAAACAACTGAGGCTATAGAAGTATAATACCGCTGTATCAGGTCTATTGGTTTGGAAAATGAGACAGGTACTCACTCACATCTTACCAAGTATATTCCACATTTGTTTTACTCCCATCAGAGGAATCCATTCTCACCTTGACAGTACAAACTAAAGCATTTCAGGTACTCACTCACATCTTACCAAGTATATTCCACATTTGTTTTACTCCCATCAGAGGAATCCATTCTCACCTTGACAGTACAAACTAAAGCATTTCTGAGCTTTTCAATGAGAAAATATCAAATTTCCGTCTCAATGGACATATCGTATATTGTCTCTTGTCACTATATTGTGACAATATTGCCAGTGTGACGTAAACGTTTAACTCAATGTCAGACACAGTAATTAGAGCAACTGCCCACATGTTTTCTTAATATTTGGTGCTAAGTATATGACAAATAATCTAAGTTAAATTAAAATTTGATATTTCCCCGAATAAAAGCATTTTCAGTCACGAGTGATGCATAAACATCTCAAAGTCATATATTTGTAGGTTTGTAGAGTGTGCCAACCCCCTTTTGGTATGCTGATGTCCATATATCAGTGTTGAAAATTATATTTCGTCTTTCTTTTCTTGCAAGAAGTGACAATTCGATAATAGATTTGTCTCTAAGCTAATGAGCTTACTTGGCCATGCATCATATGTGAAATACCAGTTTAATTTACCTGCATCAGCTGTGAACACTGATATTACTCAATAATCACTAATGTGACATTGTTGCAATATATGGTTCAAGTTAAATTGCTCTCGTCAAGCGTTGTTTGTGCAACACTTAGGATTAAAATCACAGAATATAATGGTGGCTTTTCGTTGAAGATACATGCTGATACAACCTTGTTCATTTACAACAGTCATACACACTGAATGACATCACCAAGACAATGCTGTTAACTATCTATAATTGGTTACTGAGTCACTTTTGCGATGCTTAGCAATGTACTTTCACTCAAATTGTCCCTCTACTTTAACAAACCACACAATTCAACTTCAGTTGTTAAAATAAAACATAACTACTACTAAGACTGCAAAGTGATATTTTATTATGAAACCATTGTAGACATAAGTTAGAAACAAACACATGTTTTTCAGTTACATACTAAATAAACGGCCTCCAACCTCCCCTCACAGCCGCCCCTTTCCACACCTCACATACACTTACAAAACTGTACAGTGACATGTTTCCACTGTATATTTTTCATTACTTTATAGTAGAGTGAATATTTAGATAATTCACAGTGAAAAAAACAGGAAAGAGTAGGACAGTAGAGACACCATTAAGATAAGAGATAATACAAGTCAGGAAACTTGTTTAGTAGAGGGAACATTAAGATAATAGCTAGTAAAGAGAGGAAAGAGTGGGATAGTAGAGACAACATTAAGATAATAGCTAGTACAAGACAGGGAAGAGTAGGATAGTAGGGGAAACATATAGATGGTTCAAAACACAACGCTGGAGAGACTAGGATACTAGAGAGTAGAACAGTAAGACAGTACATCGTACAAAACAGGAAGAGAAGGATATCAGAGACAACATTAAGATATTAGATAGTACAAGGCAGGAAAGTAGAGGTAGATAGTAGATGGTAGATAGTACAAAGGTGGAGAGAATTGGATAGTAGAGAGGACATTAAGTAGGTAGCAGAAGGAAGGAAAGAGTATGATAGTAGGGGAAAAAAATTAAATAGCAGACAGTACAAGGCAGGGGTGAGTAGGATAGGAGGGACAACAATAAGATAGTAGATAGTACAAGGCAGGAAAGAGTAGGATAATAGAGAGAAGAAAATTAAGATAGCAAATAGTACAAGACAGGAGAGAGAGTAGGATAGGAGAGACAACAATAAGATAGTAGATAGTACAAGGCAGGAAAGAGTAGGATAATAGAGAGAAGAAAATTAAGATAGCAAATAGTACAAGACAGGAGATAGTAAGATAGTAAGATAGAGTAAGATAGGATAGTGAAGTGTAGGACTGTATTTAGGCTAGTGTAGGTCAGTTAGGATAGTGAATGACTGGAGAGTGCATATATGTTTGACAGTACACAGTAGGGTAGTGTTGGACAGTAACTGAGAGGATAGTGTAGGTCAGTAGAGAGTAGGTTAGTGTAGGCCAATACAGTGCAGTGTAGGAGAGTATCCAGACAGGAAAGATAGTAGGATAGATTAGGTAAGTATAGAGTAGGGTAGTAGCGTATTACAGTAGAATAGTGTAGGATAGAATAGGATAGTACAGAAGAGGGCAGAGTACGTCAGTACATGGTTGGGTGGTTTAGGACAGTACAAAGTAAAGAAGAGAATGACAGTGCACGGTAGAGTAGGAGTGAGTGAGTGAGTGTGTATGGTTTTCCGGAGCTTTCAGAAATATTCCAGCAATATCACGGCGGGAGACAACCAGAAATGGGCTTCAGACACTGTACCCATGTCAGGATTCAAACCCACGTTTTCGGTGTCACAAGCAAAAGCTTTAACCACTAGGCTACCCGACTGCCCCAGAGTAGTGTAGGAAAGTATGTAGTAGACTGACTCGAGTAGTGTATCACATTACATGGTAGTGTAGATTAGGCCAGATTAGGGTAAGTAAGTACAGTACATAGTAGAGTAGCATAGGAGTTGTGTGTGACAGTGCACTGTAGAGTAGTGTCAGATAGTACATATCAGAGTAGTGTAGGATAGTACATAGCACAGAAGTGTAGCACAGTAGATGGTAGTGTAGAGCACAACAGTACAAAGTAGTACAAAAACAATGACTGTTAGCGAAAGACATGAAAATCATGTATAAACCTCAACCTAACTATACACCAATCTATACCTACCTGTTCCCTGCCCCTTACACTGTTTAGAAAAAGTCCCTGGTGCCAGATGAGAGACTGGAGCTGTACTCAGCCAGGAGAGCTTCCAGGTCCTCAAGAGTGTCCTGGGGCTCCTCCAGTCTCGCCTGCTTTACAGCTTGGGACACCTCGCTGTTGTCATCTGGGCACTTCCTCTTGCGTGAAGGCAGGGGCTCCTTGCTGGGCTCAGATGTGGGTTTCTTCTTTTTCCTTAAAATGAGTTTGGTAAGATACAGATATTCCACATCATATTCATCATCAGAGTTTGGCTCACATCTGTCCACTGACTTGGCAGAATGTACACTTAATGTTGCAGCAGTGACACCACCTGACTTAGGACTCTCTGGTGCTGAAACAACCTTATCCTTTACATTCTTAACAGGGACAGGGGATGTCTTGCAACCTGTACTGGGCAAGACAGACTTTGGCTTTAAGTATGCACCATCAGCAGACAACAACTGTTCAGCAAAACTCTTAGGTGAGGCCTTAATGATACTATTTCTACCCCCAGACTTAGTGATACGGTTCCCCAGGGGTCTGCTCTGGGTTTTGATGTGCTGAGCTCCAAGAGGCTGAGGCACAAAGTAGGGCTTGCTCTCTGGCTGATGCTTGATCATTTTCTCCTTCAGAATGCGAGGCGTTGGCTGAGGTTTTGGCCTGAACGTGCGGGGCTTGCGTTTGCAGGGCTTGAGCTCGAGTTTCTGCTTTTGATGGACATTGGGTTTGGGGTTGCTTGTTGTAGGCATGGGAGGAGTTTCAACATGGGCCATAGACTGGGGATGAGGAACTGGACTGGGTGGGTCAAGTTGGGGCAGAACACAGGAGAAGGCCTAATGGGCGATACAGTCATTGTATCATTTTTATATTTCATGATTACTTAAGTACAATGGAAGTATATCTCTACTATAAAAGCAAGTATAATTATCTTTTGAGTTACGTTTTATAAATCATCAAAAGAACAAGAATACTCCTGCATACCTCTGGTCTTATCAGCTCCAGGTCTAGCACTGCACTGGGCAGGCTGACAGGCAGCTGGCAGACAGGCATCATCTCCCTACGTCTATTGCAAGATGGTGGCTGGACTGCAGGAGGCAAGGGGATAGCAGTCACAGATGACTGACCTCCAGGCTGAAGGAGTCTTGGCTGTAGGTAACCAGCATCCAGGGAGAGGTTAACAGGATTACCAGCAGGTATCCAGATAGTGTTGTTATCTATCAGACATCTGGTCCCATCTCCCAACACCACTGTTGGCAGCCCGGGGAGCAAGCGGGTCACAGGCACTGTAACAGTGAATAGTTTACTAAACTGCCTACAAGATAATTCGTCATTTCGTTAATAGTGAAAACCAATATCTAACTGTTCATTAGATTTATGTCTTTTGAAAACAAGTTCAGCATGTCTGCAGGAATTCCAAGAAGTCGAAAATGTTGTGTATCATGTTCACGTTTTGTGACAGTACAACTAAAATTCCCTAAAATGTTCAGGTTACCAATCACCATCTAAAGTTAATGTGAAACTCTACAATATAACACACTGGAAATTCCGAAAATTTGAATTGGTTATTGTGCAATTCTGTAATAGAAGACCTTCATACAGACAATGAAAATTGAATATGCGGTGCGGAAACATCAGCGTTTCATTGTTTGTATTGTAAACACATTAAAACAATCACATGTTACTTTGTCACTGGTCAAAATACAAATTTCAAATACCTGTCGTAGTGGGATTCATAGTTTTCTCCACCTCTTCAAGTCGTACACACTTTTAGAGTCGTATTTTGCACAATAAAACTGAGAACACTTCCAGTGATAGCTCTCAAAATGGCTGACACACAGGAAGGGCTAGCTGTTGTCATGACGCCGCTACTCTAGGCAAAACCACGCATGCGTCGACTTTATGCACAACTCGGCACTTCCGTCTGCCTTACATTGTGAATAAAGTTAGATCTACATCAACACTTGGCAGCCATCTATACAGGGTTGAACATGGAGAAGAAACGTTGTGAAATGCGAAGGTCATTCCAAGGGAAGCTACTCTAGTAGAGTTTGCTACTTAAAAAGAGTTACCGTGCTTGAATGAGGATTTTATGATCGCTTGAATGAATCATAAAAAAATACTTCATGTTTGCAATGAGAGTGAGTGAGTGAGTTACTTGTGGGCCACCTGTGACCCCTTTACAATGTTAAAAGAAAATACCCTGACACTACATCTGTTAAGGTTTAGGCAATTCATTACCATTGTATATAGTTAATAATAAGCAAATTACATGAACATATTATTTTCTCTCAGATTTAGGGTGTGTTCAAGATTGGAACTGCCACAATGGCTACTACAGGACTCAAACAGGAGTCACCCGGAAATCCTTATCTTATGCACAATAATTCAATAGAAGGGAAGCCAACTAAGTCACTGTAACATAATTCTTTAACCTTCCCCTGGCAACAATGGTTAGTACAGAAATAAAAATCGCGCCAAGGCAAAGTTGCTCAACAGGAGTATTCAAAGTGAGAAAGAAATAGAGGAGGAGGGGTAAAGGGAAGTCCATTGGTAGGACGGAGGTAGGGGCAGGTGGGGGAAATGGGGATTATAAGAGGAGGACAGGTGAGGGGGGTTACATTGGTAGGACGGAGGTAGGGGCAGACGGGGAAATGGAGGAGGAGAGGTGAAGGGAAGTACATTGTTAGGACGGGAGTAGGGGCAGGTGGGGAAATTGGGGACATTGGAGGAGGAGAGGTGAAGGGAAGTACACTCGTAGGCCGGGGCTAGGGGCAGGTTGGGACATGGAGGATAGGTGAAGGGAAGTACATTGGTGGGTCGGAGGTAGGGGCAGGTGGGGAAATTGAGGACATCGGAGGTGGGGAGGTGAAGGGAAGTACATTGGTAGGTCGGAGGTAGGGGCAGTCGGAGAAATGGAGGAGGAGAGGTTCAGGGAAGTACATTGCTAGGACGGGGGTAGAGGCAGATCGGGAAATAGAGGACATTGGAGGGGGAGAGGGTAAGGGAAGTACATTGGTAGGTCGTAGGTTGGGGCAGGTGGGGAAATTGAGGACATCGGAGGTGGAGAGGTGAAGTGAAGTACATTGGTAGGTCGGAGGTAGGGGCAGTCGGAGAAATGGAGGTGGAGAGGTTCAGGGAAGTTTATTGTTAGGACGGGGGTAGAGGCAGGTGGGGAAATGGAGGACATTGGAGGAGGAGAGGGTAAGGGAAGTACAATGGTAGGTCTTAGGTTGGGGCAGGTGGGGAAATGGAGGACATTGGAGGAGAGGTGAAGGAAAGTACACTGGTAGGACGGAGGAAGGGGAAAGTTGGGAAATGGAGATCATTGAAGCAGGAGAGGTGAAGGGAAGCACACTGTTAAGACGGGGTTAGGAGCAGGTGGGGAAATGGAGGACATCGGAGGAGACAGTAAGGGATGTAATTGGTGTGATGGACGTAGGAGCAAATGGGGGGAAAGGGGGACATGGGAGTATTTGTAGAGAAGGGAAGAGCGGTGGAAGGCCTGACGTAGGTGCAGGTTGGGAAACATAACGGGGTAGATACGTCACGGAGGGGTTGAGGGAAGTACAGTGGTTGGATGGAGGTAGGAGCAAGTGGGGAAAGCAGGAGCTGGTTGAGAAATAGGAGACATGGGAGCAGGAGAGGGGAAGAAAAAGAAAAGAAAAGTGGAGGGAAACAAAGGACATGAGCGAAAGAGACAGGGGAAGGGTTGGATGATACAGAGGCAGGATTAAAGGGGAAATGGAAATTATATAGGAGTAGGACAGGGTAAGGGAAGTTTTATTGGAGAACGGAGGTCGGGGCTGGTGTGGAAATTGGGACATTAGAGTAGGAGAGAGGTGTTGTACTTTAAGGGACCGAAACTGGAGGTAGAAACTGGTCTTGAATTGGTGACATGGGAGTAGCCAAGGTGAAGGAAACTATTGTGGAAATGGTGGGAAATTAGGGTCATGTGTTATGAGAGAGGATAGGTAGTAAAGTGGGAGGACGAAGATAAGAGAAATATTGATAGAAATTGAAATTCTGAGGTAGTTTACCATTGTCCAAAGAAGGTAAATGCGCCATCATGATACTGGTTTCTGGTTCATCATTTCATTGTCTGGTTTGTTTACATGCCCCGTGGCATGGCAGGAGTACTGCTGTGTTGTGCCAGGAAACAAAGACATACTTTCTTGTGCAAATTTGGGAGGTACTATCCGTAGTGCAGGAAATGTTTACCATTTTCGTGAACACCTGGTGTCATCAACTGATTTTCACCCTTCTGTTCATAAACTTTTAATGTCTATTTTGCCTTTACAAGCAATGGAATCTGCTTATTCAAAGGCAAGGCAAGGACGTTCAATAATTTACAGCAGTGTAAAACCATACTCAATCCTTTAGGTTCTGTGTTACTTTAAGTTAAAGAAATTAAAAGGTAAATTGTGCTAGGTAATGACATTATTTCCGTCATGTTATATTATAAATTGGTCATAAAACCGTTTCGGATTTCATATGTCAGAAAAGGAAGTTTCATAGTTTTCATATTTTCATATGACACATTCTCTTAATAGCTGAGAGAACGGCTCTGGCAAATACATGAGCTGAAATTAAACTGTCACAATGCCACAAGTACATCTACATGAGGCAAATCTGTGTCCCACCCGTGTATTGCTCGTGAAGAAGTATATCATATGACAAAATACATACTTGCTATATCAATGCATGTATCATCAGTGGTCATCAGAGTGACCCATCTTTTGTGTCCAGATCATGAAACATTTACCATTCACCCGTGCTTGTCTATAGAATAAGTTAGTGACAATGGCAGCTAGTTGTGAAAAGTGATCTATGGAGGACCAGCTGTGACATGCATATTATATCAACTTATGATCAGTGCTCATGAAAGTAACACCTTTTGGTTTCCATATTAGAAAACTTTTACCTGTCACCCATTCTTGTCTCAAGAATGTGTAGGTCAAATCAGCTCCTGGCTATGAATATTATATGATAAAGGACCAGCTGTGACCTGGTTCGTTGTGTGTCATTGTGATTTATCTGGTCCAGACTGAAATATCTTACATGCCGCCACAATACAGCTGTAAGATTACGAACTACTTCAATCACTCACCCATTGGTTTGTTAACCATAACATGTTCCATGTGTGTATTGCTGCATTCAGAGAAACAACTGAGGCTATAGAAGTATAATACCGCTGTATCAGGTCTATTGGTTTGGAAAATGATACAGGTACTCACTCACATCTTACCAAGTATGTTCCACATTTGTTTTACTCGCATCAGAGGAATCCATTCTCACCTTGGCAGTCATACTAAAGCATTTCTGAGCTTTTGTCTGAGAAAATACAAAACCTCTGTCTCAATGGACATATCGTATATTGTCTCTTGTCACTATATTGTGACAATATTGCAAGTGTGAAGTAAACGTTTAACTCAATGTCAGACACAGTAATTAAAACAATTGCTCACATGTTCTCTTAATATCTGGTCCTAAGTATATGACAAATAATCTAAGTGAAATTAAAATTTGATATTCCCCCTAATAAAAGCATTTTCAGTCTCGAGTGATGCACAAACATCTCAAAGTAATATATGGTGTGGGTTAAAAGAGTGTGCCAACCCCCATTTGGTATGCTGATGCCCATATTTCAATGTTGAAAATTATATTTCGTCTTTTTTTTCTTGCAAGGAGTGACAATTTAATAACAGATTTGTCTCTAAGCTAATGAGCTTACTTGGCCATGCATTGTATGTGAAATACCAGTTTAATTTACTTGCATCAGCTGTGAACACTGATATTACTCATGAATCACTAATGTGACAACTTATCGTTGCAATTTATGGCTCTCGTCAGGCATTGTTTGTGCAACAATGAGGATTAAAATCACAGAATATAATGGTGGCTTTTCGTTGAAGATACAAGCTGATACTTCATGACCATTTACAACCTTGTTCATTTACAACAGTCATACACACTGAGTGACATCACCAAGACAATGCTGTTAACTATCTATAATTGGTTACTGAGTCACTTTTGCGATGCTTAGCAATGTACTTTCACTCAAATTGTTCCTCTACTTTTACAAACCACACAATTCAACTTCAGTTGTTAAAATAAAACATAACTACTACTAAGACTGCAAAGTGATATTTTATTATGAAACCATTGTAGACATAAGTTAGAAACAAACACATGTTTTTCAGTTACATACTAAATAAACGGCCTCCAACCTCCCCTCACAGCCGCCCCTTTCCACACCTCACATACACTTACAAAACTGTACAGTGACATGTTTCCACTGTATATTTTTCATTACTTGATAGTAGAGTGAATATTTAGATAATTCACAGTGAAAAAAACAGGAAAGAGTAGGATAGTAGAGACAACATTAAGATAAGAGATAATACAAGTCAGGAAACTGTTGTTTAGTAGAGGGAACATTAAGATAATAGCTAGTACAAGACAGGAAAGAGTAGGATAGTTGAGACAACATTAAGATAATAGCTAGTACAAGACAGGGAAGAGTAGGATAGTAGGGGAAACATATAAATGGTTCAAAACACAACGCTGGAGAGACTAGGATAGTAGAGAGTAGAACAGTAAGACAGTACATCGTACAAAACAGGAAGAGAAGGATATCAGAGACAACATTAAGATATTAGATAGTACAAGACAGGAAACTGTAGTTTAGTAGAGGGAACATTAAGATAATAGCTAGTACAAGACAGGAAAGAGTAGGATAGTAGGGGAAACATATAGATGGTTCAAAATACAACACTGGAGAGACTAGGATAGTAGAGAGTAGAACAGTAAGACAGTACATCGTACAAAACAGGAAGAGAAGGATATCAGAGACAGCATTAAGATATTAGATAGTACAAGGCAGGAAAGTAGAGGTAGATAGTAGATGGTAGATAGTACAAAGGTGGAGAGAATGGGATAGTAGAGAGGACATTAAGATAGTAGGTAGCAGAAGGAAGGAAAGAGTATGATAGTAGAGAAAAGAAAATGAAATAGCAGACAGTACAAGTCAGGGGAGAGTAGGTTAGGAGAAACAATAAGATAGTAGATAGTACAAGACAGGGAAGAGGATAGTAGAGGTAGATACTGATAGTAGATGGTAGATAGTACAAAGGTGGAAAGAATGGGATAGTAGAGAGGTCCCTACGATAGTAGGTAGTACGAGGAAGGAAAGAGGATGATAGTCATGGTGGTAGAGAGAATAAAATTAAATATAAGACAGCACACAGGAGAGAGTAGGATAGTAGAGGTAGAAAGTAACTCGTAGATAGTACGAAGGTGGAGGGAATGGAATAGTAGAGAGGATATTGAGATAGTAGAAGGAAGGAAAGAGGATGATAGTAGGGGAAAAAATTAAATAGCAGACAGTACAAGGCAGGGGAGAGTAGGATAGGAGAGACAACAATAAGATAGTAGATAGTACAAGGCAGGAAAGAGTAGGATAATAGAGATAAGAAAATTAAGATAGCAAATAGTACAAGACAGGAGATAGTAAGATAGTAAGATAGAGTAAGATAGGATAGTGTAGTGTAGGACTGTATTTAGGCTAGTGTAGGTCAGTTAGGATAGTGAATGACTGGAGAGTGCATATATGTTTGGCAGTACACAGTAGGGTAGTGTTGGACAGTAACTGAGAGGATAGTGTAGGTCAGTAGAGAGTAGGTTAGTGTAGGCCAATACAGTGCAGTGTAGGAGAGTATCCAGACAGGAAAGATAGTAGGATAGATTAGGTAAGTATAGAGTAGGGTAGTAGCGTATTACAGTAGAATAGTGTAGGATAGAATAGGATAGTACAGAAGAGGGCAGAGTACGTCAGTACATGGTTGGGTGGTTTAGGACAGTACAAAGTAAAGAAGAGAATGACAGTGCACGGTAGAGTAGGAGTGAGTGAGTGAGTGTGTATGGTTTTCCGGAGCTTTCAGAAATATTCCAGCAATATCACGGCGGGAGACAACCAGAAATTGGCTTCAGACACTGTACCCATGTCAGGATTCAAACCCACGTTTTCGGTGTCACAAGCAAAAGCTTTAACCACTAGGCTACCCGACTGCCCCAGAGTAGTGTAGGAAAGTATGTAGCAGAGTAGTATATGAAAGTACATAGTAGACTGACTCGAGTAGTGTATCACATTACATGGTAGTGTAGATTAGGCCAGTACATGGTAGGGTAAGGTAGTACAGTACATAGTAGAGTAGCATAGGAGTTGTGTGTGACAGTGCACGGTAGAGTAGTGTCAGATAGTACATAGCAGACTAGTGTAGGATAGTACATAGCACAGAAGTGTAGCACAGTAGATGGTAGTGTAGAGCACAACAGTACAAAGTAGTACAAAAACAATGACTGTTAGCGAAAGACATGAAAACCATGTATAAACCTCAACCTAACTATATTCCAATCTATACCTACCTGTTCCCTGCCCCTTACACTGTTTAGAAAAAGTCCCTGGTGCCAGATGAGAGACTGGAGCTGTACTCAGCCAGGAGAGCTTCCAGGTCCTCAAGAGTGTCCTGGGGCTCCTCCAGTCTCGCCTGCTTTACAGCTTGGGACACCTCGCTGTTGTCATCTGGGCACTTCCTCTTGCGTGAAGGCAGGGGCTCCTTGCTGGGCTCAGATGTGGGTTTCTTCTTTTTCCTTAAAACGAGTTTGGTAAGATACAGATATTCCACATCATATTTATCATCAGAGTTTAGCTCACATCTGTCCACTGACTTGGCAGAATGTACACTTAATGTTGCAGCAGTGACACCACCTGACTTAGGACTCTCTGGTGCTGAAACAACCTTATCCTTTACATTCTTAACAGGGACAGGGGATGTCTTGCAACCTGTACTGGGCAAGACAGACTTTGGCTTTAAGTATGCACCATCAGCAGACAACAACTGTTCAGCAAAACTCTTAGGTGAGGCCTTAATGATACTATTTCTACCCCCAGACTTAGTGATACGGTTCCCCAGGGGTCTGCTCTGGGTTTTGATGTGCTGAGCGCCAAGAGGCTGAGGCACAAAGTAGGGCTTGCTCTCTGGCTGATGCTTGATCATTTTCTCCTTCAGAATGCGAGGCGTTGGCTGAGGTTTTGGCCTGAACGTGCGGGGCTTGCGTTTGCAGGGCTTGAGCTCGAGTTTCTGCTTTTGATGGACATTGGGTTTGGGGTTGCTTGTTGTAGGTATGGGAGGAGTTTCAACATGGGCCATAGACTGGGGATGAGGAACTGGACTGGGTGGGTCAAGTTGGGGCAGAACACAGGAGAAGGCCTAATGGGCGATACAGTCATTGTATCATTTTTATATTTCATGATTACTTAAGTACAATGGAAGTATATCTCTACTATAAAAGCAAGTATAATTATCTTTTGAGTTACGTTTTATAAATCATCAAAAGAACAAGAATACTCCTGCATACCTCTGGTCTTATCAGCTCCAGGTCTAGCACTGCACTGGGCAGGCTGACAGGCAGCTGGCAGACAGGCATCATCTCCCTACGTCTATTGCAAGATGGTGGCTGGACTGCAGGAGGCAAGGGGATAGCAGTCACAGATGACTGACCTCCAGGCTGAAGGAGTCTTGGCTGTAGGTAACCAGCATCCAGGGAGAGGTTAACAGGATTACCAGCAGGTATCCAGATAGTGTTGTTATCTATCAGACATCTGGTCCCATCTCCCAACACCACTGTTGGCAGCCCGGGGAGCAAGCGGGTCACAGGCACTGTAACAGTGAATAGTTTACTAAACTGCCTACAAGATAATTCGTCATTTCGTTAATAGTGAAAACCAATATCTAACTGTTCATTAGATTTATGTCTTTTGAAAACAAGTTCAGCATGTCTGCAGGAATTCCAAGAAGTCGAAAATGTTGTGTATCATGTTCACGTTTTGTGACATTTCAACTAAAATTCCCTAAAATGTTCAGGTTACCAATCACCATCTAAAGTTAATGTGAAACTCTACAATATAACACACTGGAAATTCCGAAAATTTGAATTGGTTATTGTGCAATTCTGTAATAGAAGACCTTCATACAGACAATGAAAATTGAATATGCGGTGCGGAAACATCAGCGTTTCATTGTTTGTATTGTAAACACATTAAAACAATCACATGTTACTTTGTCACTGGTCAAAATACAAATTTCAAATACCTGTCGTAGTGGGATTCATAGTTTTCTCCACCTCTTCAAGTCGTACACACTTTTAGAGTCGTATTTTGCACAATAAAACTGAGAACACTTCCAGTGATAGCTCTCAAAATGGCTGACACACAGGAAGGGCTAGCTGTTGTCATGACGCCGCTACTCTAGGCAAAACCACGCATGCGTCGACTTTATGCACAACTCGGCACTTCCGTCTGCCTTACATTGTGAATAAAGTTAGATCTACATCAACACTTGGCAGCCATCTATACAGGGTTGAACATGGAGAAGAAACGTTGTGAAATGCGAAGGTCATTCCAAGGGAAGCTACTCTAGTACAGTTTGCTACTTAAAAAGAGTTACCGTGCTTGAATGAGGATTTTATGATCGCTTGAATGAATCATAAAAAAATACTTCATGTTTGCAATGAGAGTGAGTGAGTGAGTTACTTGTGGGCCACCTGTGACCCCTTTACAATGTTAAAAGAAAATACCCTGACACTACATCTGTTAAGGTTTAGGCAATTCATTACCATTGTATATAGTTATTAATAAGCAAATTACATGAACATATTATTTTCTCTCAGATTTAGGGTGTGTTCAAGATTGGAACTGCCACAATGGCTACTACAGGACTCAAACAGGAGTCACCCGGAAATCCTTATCTTATGCACAATAATTCAATAGAAGGGAAGCCAACTAAGTCACTGTAACATAATTCTTTAACCTTCCCCTGGCAACAATGGTTAGTACAGAAATAAAAATCGCGCCAAGGCAAAGTTGCTCAACAGGAGTATTCAAAGTGAGAAAGAAATAGAGGAGGAGGGGTAAAGGGAAGTCCATTGGTAGGACGGAGGTAGGGGCAGGTGGGGGAAATGGGGATTATAAGAGGAGGACAGGTGAGGGGGGTTACATTGGTAGGACGGAGGTAGGGGCAGACGGGGAAATGGAGGAGGAGAGGTGAAGGGAAGTACATTGTTAGGACGGGAGTAGGGGCAGGTGGGGAAATTGGGGACATTGGAGGAGGAGAGGTGAAGGGAAGTACACTCGTAGGCCGGGGCTAGGGGCAGGTTGGGACATGGAGGATAGGTGAAGGGAAGTACATTGGTGGGTCGGAGGTAGGGGCAGGTGGGGAAATTGAGGACATCGGAGGTGGGGAGGTGAAGGGAAGTACATTGGTAGGTCGGAGGTAGGGGCAGTCGGAGAAATGGAGGAGGAGAGGTTCAGGGAAGTACATTGCTAGGACGGGGGTAGAGGCAGATCGGGAAATAGAGGACATTGGAGGGGGAGAGGGTAAGGGAAGTACATTGGTAGGTCGTAGGTTGGGGCAGGTGGGGAAATTGAGGACATCGGAGGTGGAGAGGTGAAGTGAAGTACATTGGTAGGTCGGAGGTAGGGGCAGTCGGAGAAATGGAGGTGGAGAGGTTCAGGGAAGTTTATTGTTAGGACGGGGGTAGAGGCAGGTGGGGAAATGGAGGACATTGGAGGAGGAGAGGGTAAGGGAAGTACAATGGTAGGTCTTAGGTTGGGGCAGGTGGGGAAATGGAGGACATTGGAGGAGAGGTGAAGGAAAGTACACTGGTAGGACGGAGGAAGGGGAAAGTTGGGAAATGGAGATCATTGAAGCAGGAGAGGTGAAGGGAAGCACACTGTTAAGACGGGGTTAGGAGCAGGTGGGGAAATGGAGGACATCGGAGGAGACAGTAAGGGATGTAATTGGTGTGATGGACGTAGGAGCAAATGGGGGGAAAGGGGGACATGGGAGTATTTGTAGAGAAGGGAAGAGCGGTGGAAGGCCTGACGTAGGTGCAGGTTGGGAAACATAACGGGGTAGATACGTCACGGAGGGGTTGAGGGAAGTACAGTGGTTGGATGGAGGTAGGAGCAAGTGGGGAAAGCAGGAGCTGGTTGAGAAATAGGAGACATGGGAGCAGGAGAGGGGAAGAAAAAGAAAAGAAAAGTGGAGGGAAACAAAGGACATGAGCGAAAGAGACAGGGGAAGGGTTGGATGATACAGAGGCAGGATTAAAGGGGAAATGGAAATTATATAGGAGTAGGACAGGGTAAGGGAAGTTTTATTGGAGAACGGAGGTCGGGGCTGGTGTGGAAATTGGGACATTAGAGTAGGAGAGAGGTGTTGTACTTTAAGGGACCGAAACTGGAGGTAGAAACTGGTCTTGAATTGGTGACATGGGAGTAGCCAAGGTGAAGGAAACTATTGTGGAAATGGTGGGAAATTAGGGTCATGTGTTATGAGAGAGGATAGGTAGTAAAGTGGGGGGACGAAGATAAGAGAAATATTGATAGAAATTGAAATTCTGAGGTAGTTTACCATTGTCCAAAGAAGGTAAATGCGCCATCATGATACTGGTTTCTGGTTCATCATTTCATTGTCTGGTTTGTTTACATGCCCCGTGGCATGGCAGGAGTACTGCTGTGTTGTGCCAGGAAACAAAGACATACTTTCTTGTGCAAATTTGGGAGGTACTATCCGTAGTGCAGGAAATGTTTACCATTTTCGTGAACACCTGGTGTCATCAACTGATTTTCACCCTTCTGTTCATAAACTTTTAATGTCTATTTTGCCTTTACAAGCAATGGAATCTGCTTATTCAAAGGCAAGGCAAGGACGTTCAATAATTTACAGCAGTGTAAAACCATACTCAATCCTTTAGGTTCTGTGTTACTTTAAGTTAAAGAAATTAAAAGGTAAATTGTGCTAGGTAATGACATTATTTCCGTCATGTTATATTATAAATTGGTCATAAAACCGTTTCGGATTTCATATGTCAGAAAAGGAAGTTTCATAGTTTTCATATTTTCATATGACACATTCTCTTAATAGCTGAGAGAACGGCTCTGGCAAATACATGAGCTGAAATTAAACTGTCACAATGCCACAAGTACATCTACATGAGGCAAATCTGTGTCCCACCCGTGTATTGCTCGTGAAGAAGTATATCATATGACAAAATACATACTTGCTATATCAATGCATGTATCATCAGTGGTCATCAGAGTGACCCATCTTTTGTGTCCAGATCATGAAACATTTACCATTCACCCGTGCTTGTCTATAGAATAAGTTAGTGACAATGGCAGCTAGTTGTGAAAAGTGATCTATGGAGGACCACCTGTGACATGCATATTATATCAACTTATGATCAGTGCTCATGAAAGTAACACCTTTTGGTTTCCATATTAGAAAACTTTTACCTGTCACCCATTCTTGTCTCAAGAATGTGTAGGTCAAATCAGCTCCTGGCTATGAATATTATATGATAAAGGACCAGCTGTGACCTGGTTCGTTGTGTGTCATTGTGATTTATCTGGTCCAGACTGAAATATCTTACATGCCGCCACAATACAGCTGTAAGATTACGAACTACTTCAATCACTCACCCATTGGTTTGTTAACCATAACATGTTCCATGTGTGTATTGCTGCATTCAGAGAAACAACTGAGGCTATAGAAGTATAATACCGCTGTATCAGGTCTATTGGTTTGGAAAATGATACAGGTACTCACTCACATCTTACCAAGTATGTTCCACATTTGTTTTACTCGCATCAGAGGAATCCATTCTCACCTTGGCAGTCATACTAAAGCATTTCTGAGCTTTTGTCTGAGAAAATACAAAACCTCCGTCTCAATGGACATATCGTATATTGTCTCTTGTCACTATATTGTGACAATATTGCAAGTGTGAAGTAAACGTTTAACTTAATGTCAGACACAGTAATTAAAACAATTGCTCACATGTTCTCTTAATATCTGGTCCTAAGTATATGACAAATAATCTAAGTGAAATTAAAATTTGATATTCCCCCTAATAAAAGCATTTTCAGTCTCGAGTGATGCACAAACATCTCAAAGTAATATATGGTGTGGGTTAAAAGAGTGTGCCAACCCCCATTTGGTATGCTGATGCCCATATTTCAATGTTGAAAATTATATTTCGTCTTTTTTTTCTTGCAAGGAGTGACAATTTAATAACAGATTTGTCTCTAAGCTAATGAGCTTACTTGGCCATGCATTGTATGTGAAATACCAGTTTAATTTACTTGCATCAGCTGTGAACACTGATATTACTCATGAATCACTAATGTGACAACTTATCGTTGCAATTTATGGCTCTCGTCAGGCATTGTTTGTGCAACAATGAGGATTAAAATCACAGAATATAATGGTGGCTTTTCGTTGAAGATACAAGCTGATACTTCATGACCATTTACAACCTTGTTCATTTACAACAGTCATACACACTGAGTGACATCACCAAGACAATGCTGTTAACTATCTATAATTGGTTACTGAGTCACTTTTGCGATGCTTAGCAATGTACTTTCACTCAAAATTGTTCCTCTACTTTTACAAACCACACAATTCAACTTCAGTTGTTAAAATAAAACATAACTACTACTAAGACTGCAAAGTGATATTTTATTATGAAACCATTGTAGACATAAGTTAGAAACAAACACATGTTTTTCAGTTACATACTAAATAAACGGCCTCGAACCTCCCCTCACAGCCGCCCCTTTCCACACCTCACATACACTTACAAAACTGTACAGTGACATGTTTCCACTGTATATTTTTCATTACTTGATAGTAGAGTGAATATTTAGATAATTCACAGTGAAAAAAACAGGAAAGAGTAGGATAGTAGAGACAACATTAAGATAAGAGATAATACAAGTCAGGAAACTGTTGTTTAGTAGAGGGAACCTTAAGATAATAGCTAGTACAAGACAGGAAAGAGTTGGATAGTTGAGACAACATTAAGATAATAGCTAGTACAAGACAGGGAAGAGTAGGATAGTAGGGGAAACATATAAATGGTTCAAAACACAACGCTGGAGAGACTAGGATAGTAGAGAGTAGAACAGTAAGACAGTACATCGTACAAAACAGGAAGAGAAGGATATCAGAGACAACATTAAGATATTAGATAGTACAAGACAGGAAACTGTAGTTTAGTAGAGGGAACATTAAGATAATAGCTAGTACAAGACAGGAAAGAGTAGGATAGTAGGGGAAACATATAGATGGTTCAAAATACAACACTGGAGAGACTAGGATAGTAGAGAGTAGAACAGTAAGACAGTACATCGTACAAAACAGGAAGAGAAGGATATCAGAGACAGCATTAAGATATTAGATAGTACAAGGCAGGAAAGTAGAGGTAGATAGTAGATGGTAGATAGTACAAAGGTGGAGAGAATGGGATAGTAGAGAGGACATTAAGATAGTAGGTAGCAGAAGGAAGGAAAGAGTATGATAGTAGAGAAAAGAAAATGAAATAGCAGACAGTACAAGTCAGGGGAGAGTAGGTTAGGAGAAACAATAAGATAGTAGATAGTACAAGACAGGGAAGAGGATAGTAGAGGTAGATACTGATAGTAGATGGTAGATAGTACAAAGGTGGAAAGAATGGGATAGTAGAGAGGTCCCTACGATAGTAGGTAGTACGAGGAAGGAAAGAGGATGATAGTCATGGTGGTAGAGAGAATAAAATTAAATATAAGACAGCACACAGGAGAGAGTAGGATAGTAGAGGTAGAAAGTAACTCGTAGATAGTACGAAGGTGGAGGGAATGGAATAGCAGAGAGGATATTGAGATAGTAGAAGGAAGGAAAGAGGATGATAGTAGGGGAAAAAATTAAATAGCAGACAGTACAAGGCAGGGGAGAGTAGGATAGGAGAGACAACAATAAGATAGTAGATAGTACAAGGCAGGAAAGAGTAGGATAATAGAGATAAGAAAATTAAGATAGCAAATAGTACAAGACAGGAGATAGTAAGATAGTAAGATAGAGTAAGATAGGATAGTGTAGTGTAGGACTGTATTTAGGCTAGTGTAGGTCAGTTAGGATAGTGAATGACTGGAGAGTGCATATATGTTTGGCAGTACACAGTAGGGTAGTGTTGGACAGTAACTGAGAGGATAGTGTAGGTCAGTAGAGAGTAGGTTAGTGTAGGCCAATACAGTGCAGTGTAGGAGAGTATCCAGACAGGAAAGATAGTAGGATAGATTAGGTAAGTATAGAGTAGGGTAGTAGCGTATTACAGTAGAATAGTGTAGGATAGAATAGGATAGTACAGAAGAGGGCAGAGTACGTCAGTACATGGTTGGGTGGTTTAGGACAGTACAAAGTAAAGAAGAGAATGACAGTGCACGGTAGAGTAGGAGTGAGTGAGTGAGTGTGTATGGTTTTCCGGAGCTTTCAGAAATATTCCAGCAATATCACGGCGGGAGACAACCAGAAATGGGCTTCAGACACTGTACCCATGTCAGGATTCAAACCCACGTTTTCGGTGTCACAAGCAAAAGCTTTAACCACTAGGCTACCCGACTGCCCCAGAGTAGTGTAGGAAAGTATGTAGCAGAGTAGTATATGAAAGTACATAGTAGACTGACTCGAGTAGTGTATCACATTACATGGTAGTGTAGATTAGGCCAGTACATGGTAGGGTAAGGTAGTACAGTACATAGTAGAGTAGCATAGGAGTTGTGTGTGACAGTGCACGGTAGAGTAGTGTCAGATAGTACATAGCAGACTAGTGTAGGATAGTACATAGCACAGAAGTGTAGCACAGTAGATGGTAGTGTAGAGCACAACAGTACAAAGTAGTACAAAAACAATGACTGTTAGCGAAAGACATGAAAACCATGTATAAACCTCAACCTAACTATATTCCAATCTATACCTACCTGTTCCCTGCCCCTTACACTGTTTAGAAAAAGTCCCTGGTGCCAGATGAGAGACTGGAGCTGTACTCAGCCAGGAGAGCTTCCAGGTCCTCAAGAGTGTCCTGGGGCTCCTCCAGTCTCGCCTGCTTTACAGCTTGGGACACCTCGCTGTTGTCATCTGGGCACTTCCTCTTGCGTGAAGGCAGGGGCTCCTTGCTGGGCTCAGATGTGGGTTTCTTCTTTTTCCTTAAAATGAGTTTGGTAAGATACAGATATTCCACATCATATTCATCATCAGAGTTTAGCTCACATCTGTCCACTGACTTGGCAGAATGTACACTTAATGTTGCAGCAGTGACACCACCTGACTTAGGACTCTCTGGTGCTGAAACAACCTTATCCTTTACATTCTTAACAGGGACAGGGGATGTCTTGCAACCTGTACTGGGCAAGACAGACTTTGGCTTTAAGTATGCACCATCAGCAGACAACAACTGTTCAGCAAAACTCTTAGGTGAGGCCTTAATGATACTATTTCTACCCCCAGACTTAGTGATACGGTTCCCCAGGGGTCTGCTCTGGGTTTTGATGTGCTGAGCGCCAAGAGGCTGAGGCACAAAGTAGGGCTTGCTCTCTGGCTGATGCTTGATCATTTTCTCCTTCAGAATGCGAGGCGTTGGCTGAGGTTTTGGCCTGAACGTGCGGGGCTTGCGTTTGCAGGGCTTGAGCTCGAGTTTCTGCTTTTGATGGACATTGGGTTTGGGGTTGCTTGTTGTAGGCATGGGAGGAGTTTCAACATGGGCCATAGACTGGGGATGAGGAACTGGACTGGGTGGGTCAAGTTGGGGCAGAACACAGGAGAAGGCCTAATGGGCGATACAGTCATTGTATCATTTTTATATTTCATGATTACTTAAGTACAATGGAAGTATATCTCTACTATAAAAGCAAGTATAATTATCTTTTGAGTTACGTTTTATAAATCATCAAAAGAACAAGAATACTCCTGCATACCTCTGGTCTTATCAGCTCCAGGTCTAGCACTGCACTGGGCAGGCTGACAGGCAGCTGGCAGACAGGCATCATCTCCCTACGTCTATTGCAAGATGGTGGCTGGACTGCAGGAGGCAAGGGGATAGCAGTCACAGATGACTGACCTCCAGGCTGAAGGAGTCTTGGCTGTAGGTAACCAGCATCCAGGGAGAGGTTAACAGGATTACCAGCAGGTATCCAGATAGTGTTGTTATCTATCAGACATCTGGTCCCATCTCCCAACACCACTGTTGGCAGCCCGGGGAGCAAGCGGGTCACAGGCACTGTAACAGTGAATAGTTTACTAAACTGCCTACAAGATAATTCGTCATTTCGTTAATAGTGAAAACCAATATCTAACTGTTCATTAGATTTATGTCTTTTGAAAACAAGTTCAGCATGTCTGCAGGAATTCCAAGAAGTCGAAAATGTTGTGTATCATGTTCACGTTTTGTGACATTTCAACTAAAATTCCCTAAAATGTTCAGGTTACCAATCACCATCTAAAGTTAATGTGAAACTCTACAATATAACACACTGGAAATTCCGAAAATTTGAATTGGTTATTGTGCAATTCTGTAATAGAAGACCTTCATACAGACAATGAAAATTGAATATGCGGTGCGGAAACATCAGCGTTTCATTGTTTGTATTGTAAACACATTAAAACAATCACATGTTACTTTGTCACTGGTCAAAATACAAATTTCAAATACCTGTCGTAGTGGGATTCATAGTTTTCTCCACCTCTTCAAGTCGTACACACTTTTAGAGTCGTATTTTGCACAATAAAACTGAGAACACTTCCAGTGATAGCTCTCAAAATGGCTGACACACAGGAAGGGCTAGCTGTTGTCATGACGCCGCTACTCTAGGCAAAACCACGCATGCGTCGACTTTATGCACAACTCGGCACTTCCGTCTGCCTTACATTGTGAATAAAGTTAGATCTACATCAACACTTGGCAGCCATCTATACAGGGTTGAACATGGAGAAGAAACGTTGTGAAATGCGAAGGTCATTCCAAGGGAAGCTACTCTAGTACAGTTTGCTACTTAAAAAGAGTTACCGTGCTTGAATGAGGATTTTATGATCGCTTGAATGAATCATAAAAAAATACTTCATGTTTGCAATGAGAGTGAGTGAGTGAGTTACTTGTGGGCCACCTGTGACCCCTTTACAATGTTAAAAGAAAATACCCTGACACTACATCTGTTAAGGTTTAGGCAATTCATTACCATTGTATATAGTTATTAATAAGCAAATTACATGAACATATTATTTTCTCTCAGATTTAGGGTGTGTTCAAGATTGGAACTGCCACAATGGCTACTACAGGACTCAAACAGGAGTCACCCGGAAATCCTTATCTTATGCACAATAATTCAATAGAAGGGAAGCCAACTAAGTCACTGTAACATAATTCTTTAACCTTCCCCTGGCAACAATGGTTAGTACAGAAATAAAAATCGCGCCAAGGCAAAGTTGCTCAACAGGAGTATTCAAAGTGAGAAAGAAATAGAGGAGGAGGGGTAAAGGGAAGTCCATTGGTAGGACGGAGGTAGGGGCAGGTGGGGGAAATGGGGATTATAAGAGGAGGACAGGTGAGGGGGGTTACATTGGTAGGACGGAGGTAGGGGCAGACGGGGAAATGGAGGAGGAGAGGTGAAGGGAAGTACATTGTTAGGACGGGAGTAGGGGCAGGTGGGGAAATTGGGGACATTGGAGGAGGAGAGGTGAAGGGAAGTACACTCGTAGGCCGGGGCTAGGGGCAGGTTGGGACATGGAGGATAGGTGAAAGGAAGTACATTGGTGGGTCGGAGGTAGGGGCAGGTGGGGAAATTGAGGACATCGGAGGTGGGGAGGTGAAGGGAAGTACATTGGTAGGTCGGAGGTAGGGGCAGTCGGAGAAATGGAGGAGGAGAGGTTCAGGGAAGTACATTGCTAGGACGGGGGTAGAGGCAGATCGGGAAATAGAGGACATTGGAGGGGGAGAGGGTAAGGGAAGTACATTGGTAGGTCGTAGGTTGGGGCAGGTGGGGAAATTGAGGACATCGGAGGTGGAGAGGTGAAGTGAAGTACATTGGTAGGTCGGAGGTAGGGGCAGTCGGAGAAATGGAGGTGGAGAGGTTCAGGGAAGTTTATTGTTAGGACGGGGGTAGAGGCAGGTGGGGAAATGGAGGACATTGGAGGAGGAGAGGGTAAGGGAAGTACAATGGTAGGTCTTAGGTTGGGGCAGGTGGGGAAATGGAGGACATTGGAGGAGAGGTGAAGGAAAGTACACTGGTAGGACGGAGGAAGGGGAAAGTTGGGAAATGGAGATCATTGAAGCAGGAGAGGTGAAGGGAAGCACACTGTTAAGACGGGGTTAGGAGCAGGTGGGGAAATGGAGGACATCGGAGGAGACAGTAAGGGATGTAATTGGTGTGATGGACGTAGGAGCAAATGGGGGGAAAGGGGGACATGGGAGTATTTGTAGAGAAGGGAAGAGCGGTGGAAGGCCTGACGTAGGTGCAGGTTGGGAAACATAACGGGGTAGATACGTCACGGAGGGGTTGAGGGAAGTACAGTGGTTGGATGGAGGTAGGAGCAAGTGGGGAAAGCAGGAGCTGGTTGAGAAATAGGAGACATGGGAGCAGGAGAGGGGAAGAAAAAGAAAAGAAAAGTGGAGGGAAACAAAGGTCATGAGCGAAAGAGACAGGGGAAGGGTTGGATGATACAGAGGCAGGATTAAAGGGGAAATGGAAATTATATAGGAGTAGGACAGGGTAAGGGAAGTTTTATTGGAGAACGGAGGTCGGGGCTGGTGTGGAAATTGGGACATTAGAGTAGGAGAGAGGTGTTGTACTTTAAGGGACCGAAACTGGAGGTAGAAACTGGTCTTGAATTGGTGACATGGGAGTAGCCAAGGTGAAGGAAACTATTGTGGAAATGGTGGGAAATTAGGGTCATGTGTTATGAGAGAGGATAGGTAGTAAAGTGGGAGGACGAAGATAAGAGAAATATTGATAGAAATTGAAATTCTGAGGTAGTTTACCATTGTCCAAAGAAGGTAAATGCGCCATCATGATACTGGTTTCTGGTTCATCATTTCATTGTCTGGTTTGTTTACATGCCCCGTGGCATGGCAGGAGTACTGCTGTGTTGTGCCAGGAAACAAAGACATACTTTCTTGTGCAAATTTGGGAGGTACTATCCGTAGTGCAGGAAATGTTTACCATTTTCGTGAACACCTGGTGTCATCAACTGATTTTCACCCTTCTGTTCATAAACTTTTAATGTCTATTTTGCCTTTACAAGCAATGGAATCTGCTTATTCAAAGGCAAGGCAAGGACGTTCAATAATTTACAGCAGTGTAAAACCATACTCAATCCTTTAGGTTCTGTGTTACTTTAAGTTAAAGAAATTAAAAGGTAAATTGTGCTAGGTAATGACATTATTTCCGTCATGTTATATTATAAATTGGTCATAAAACCGTTTCGGATTTCATATGTCAGAAAAGGAAGTTTCATAGTTTTCATATTTTCATATGACACATTCTCTTAATAGCTGAGAGAACGGCTCTGGCAAATACATGAGCTGAAATTAAACTGTCACAATGCCACAAGTACATCTACATGAGGCAAATCTGTGTCCCACCCGTGTATTGCTCGTGAAGAAGTATATCATATGACAAAATACATACTTGCTATATCAATGCATGTATCATCAGTGGTCATCAGAGTGACCCATCTTTTGTGTCCAGATCATGAAACATTTACCATTCACCCGTGCTTGTCTATAGAATAAGTTAGTGACAATGGCAGCTAGTTGTGAAAAGTGATCTATGGAGGACCACCTGTGACATGCATATTATATCAACTTATGATCAGTGCTCATGAAAGTAACACCTTTTGGTTTCCATATTAGAAAACTTTTACCTGTCACCCATTCTTGTCTCAAGAATGTGTAGGTCAAATCAGCTCCTGGCTATGAATATTATATGATAAAGGACCAGCTGTGACCTGGTTCGTTGTGTGTCATTGTGATTTATCTGGTCCAGACTGAAATATCTTACATGCCGCCACAATACAGCTGTAAGATTACGAACTACTTCAATCACTCACCCATTGGTTTGTTAACCATAACATGTTCCATGTGTGTATTGCTGCATTCAGAGAAACAACTGAGGCTATAGAAGTATAATACCGCTGTATCAGGTCTATTGGTTTGGAAAATGATACAGGTACTCACTCACATCTTACCAAGTATGTTCCACATTTGTTTTACTCGCATCAGAGGAATCCATTCTCACCTTGGCAGTCATACTAAAGCATTTCTGAGCTTTTGTCTGAGAAAATACAAAACCTTCGTCTCAATGGACATATTGTATATTGTCTCTTGTCACTATATTGTGACAATATTGCAAGTGTGAAGTAAACGTTTAACTTAATGTCAGACACAGTAATTAAAACAATTGCTCACATGTTCTCTTAATATCTGGTCCTAAGAATATGACAAATAATCTAAGTGAAATTAAAATTTGATATTCCCCCTAATAAAAGCATTTTCAGTCTCGAGTGATGCACAAACATCTCAAAGTAATATATGGTGTGGGTTAAAAGAGTGTGCCAACCCCCATTTGGTATGCTGATGCCCATATTTCAATGTTGAAAATTATATTTCGTCTTTTTTTTCTTGCAAGGAGTGACAATTTAATAACAGATTTGTCTCTAAGCTAATGAGCTTACTTGGCCATGCATTGTATGTGAAATACCAGTTTAATTTACTTGCATCAGCTGTGAACACTGATATTACTCACGAATCACTAATGTGACAACTTATCGTTGCAATTTATGGCTCTCGTCAGGCATTGTTTGTGCAACAATGAGGATTAAAATCACAGAATATAATGGTGGCTTTTCGTTGAAGATACAAGCTGATACTTCATGACCATTTACAACCTTGTTCATTTACAACAGTCATACACACTGAGTGACATCACCAAGACAATGCTGTTAACTATCTATAATTGGTTACTGAGTCACTTTTGCGATGCTTAGCAATGTACTTTCACTCAAATTGTTCCTCTACTTTTACAAACCACACAATTCAACTTCAGTTGTTAAAATAAAACATAACTACTACTAAGACTGCAAAGTGATATTTTATTATGAAACCATTGTAGACATAAGTTAGAAACAAACACATGTTTTTCAGTTACATACTAAATAAACGGCCTCCAACCTCCCCTCACAGCCGCCCCTTTCCACACCTCACATACACTTACAAAACTGTACAGTGACATGTTTCCACTGTATATTTTTCATTACTTGATAGTAGAGTGAATATTTAGATAATTCACAGTGAAAAAAACAGGAAAGAGTAGGATAGTAGAGACAACATTAAGATAAGAGATAATACAAGTCAGGAAACTGTTGTTTAGTAGAGGGAACCTTAAGATAATAGCTAGTACAAGACAGGAAAGAGTAGGATAGTTGAGACAACATTAAGATAATAGCTAGTACAAGACAGGGAAGAGTAGGATAGTAGGGGAAACATATAAATGGTTCAAAACACAACGCTGGAGAGACTAGGATAGTAGAGAGTAGAACAGTAAGACAGTACATCGTACAAAACAGGAAGAGAAGGATATCAGAGACAACATTAAGATATTAGATAGTACAAGACAGGAAACTGTAGTTTAGTAGAGGGAACATTAAGATAATAGCTAGTACAAGACAGGAAAGAGTAGGATAGTAGGGGAAACATATAGATGGTTCAAAATACAACACTGGAGAGACTAGGATAGTAGAGAGTAGAACAGTAAGACAGTACATCGTACAAAACAGGAAGAGAAGGATATCAGAGACAGCATTAAGATATTAGATAGTACAAGGCAGGAAAGTAGAGGTAGATAGTAGATGGTAGATAGTACAAAGGTGGAGAGAATGGGATAGTAGAGAGGACATTAAGATAGTAGGTAGCAGAAGGAAGGAAAGAGTATGATAGTAGAGAAAAGAAAATGAAATAGCAGACAGTACAAGTCAGGGGAGAGTAGGTTAGGAGAAACAATAAGATAGTAGATAGTACAAGACAGGGAAGAGGATAGTAGAGGTAGATACTGATAGTAGATGGTAGATAGTACAAAGGTGGAAAGAATGGGATAGTAGAGAGGTCCCTACGATAGTAGGTAGTACGAGGAAGGAAAGAGGATGATAGTCATGGTGGTAGAGAGAATAAAATCAAATATAAGACAGCACACAGGAGAGAGTAGGATAGTAGAGGTAGAAAGTAACTCGTAGATAGTACGAAGGTGGAGGGAATGGAATAGTAGAGAGGATATTGAGATAGTAGAAGGAAGGAAAGAGGATGATAGTAGGGGAAAAAATTAAATAGCAGACAGTACAAGGCAGGGGAGAGTAGGATAGGAGAGACAACAATAAGATAGTAGATAGTACAAGGCAGGAAAGAGTAGGATAATAGAGATAAGAAAATTAAGATAGCAAATAGTACAAGACAGGAGATAGTAAGATAGTAAGATAGAGTAAGATAGGATAGTGTAGTGTAGGACTGTATTTAGGCTAGTGTAGGTCAGTTAGGATAGTGAATGACTGGAGAGTGCATATATGTTTGGCAGTACACAGTAGGGTAGTGTTGGACAGTAACTGAGAGGATAGTGTAGGTCAGTAGAGAGTAGGTTAGTGTAGGCCAATACAGTGCAGTGTAGGAGAGTATCCAGACAGGAAAGATAGTAGGATAGATTAGGTAAGTATAGAGTAGGGTAGTAGCGTATTACAGTAGAATAGT